TATTGTAACATATACACAAAAATATATTTAAAAAATACTATATATTATTGATGAAATTATGTTTTTTTTTGAAATCGATAAACATAAGTTTATCTATATTTTATGAGATATAAAAAAAATTGTAGATTTTGAAGGTAGAATAAATAAAAATGTGTATTATTCGTGTAATCAAAATTACAATAAAATAACAATGAAGTATTCAAAGAAAAAGTACAAGTTTTTGATTTGAAATTAAAAAGATGTTAAGGCCACAACATATTTCATTGTTATTTTCACTATTAAGGTAACTTAAAAAAACTAAAAACGTTGTTTGATGTTACTTGTTAATTAATTGATAAATAATTAACGTTTTAATTTCTTCAAAATGTTTACATATCACTCTCAAAAATTTATAAACAAAAAGGAGGGGGATAAATTACAAAGTTACGATGACGAATTATTTATTTTTTATAAAAACACAACAAAAAATAATTATTAAAAACTAATTTTTTTTCAATTTTATTAACGAAATATTTTTCCCAAAAAAATTTTAACATTAATTTCCTTTTAACTATAAAAACTAAACGAATTTTACTAATTTGGCTGTGAGCAAAAAGGAAGACAATTGAAATAAAACAGGTTTAAAATGTGTAAAAAGCAGTATTCCATCAAAAAAAAAGTATTATTTAGTGTAATCGTAAATGTATAAATGTTAAACCAAGTGGAAGAACATCTTTAAATAAAAAGGATTTGAAGTGTTATTCCATAACAAACAAAAATGTGGCTCTAAATGTTATTACTGTACGTCATTTAATTTTTAAGTACAAAAAATATGTCCCAAATGTTCCTTATGTAAACGAAAAAAAAAAAACATTTTATCCACATACAGTAAAACCTTGCAAAACTATTTTCATAGATAAACACGGGGTATTCCCCGAGTTGTCTATATGATGTATAAATCAAGATGGTTCTACTTTTAATTGTTATTCAGAGCTAGATTGTTGTATATTTTTATTGACATAAAACTAGACTTGTCTTAAGACGCTTAAACCGGAATGTTTCTAGTTCTAGTATTACTTTTAGCAGTTATTCAGCACTTGATTTTTGTATACAGGGTGTCTCACGTAACTGGTTCGTTAGGACTTTTTCAGGTTCCACTATTCGTAGAGATTTGAAATTTTGGTTGTTCATTCGGAACTTTCGATCTAAAATATTTTCAAGATAGCCGCCACTTCCGGTCTACCCAATTGTACGTAGAAAAATAGGTTGACTTTGATAAAAGTTATTGGTACTTAGCATTTTTTTCGAGTTATTTTGGTTTTAAGCTTTTTTTGGTAAATTTCAACATGCTCTTTAAAACTCCATATCTCAGCCAACGTTCATTCAAAAAAGATCTACGTTAGCACGATTACTCTTCAAATGTTGTCAAATAGATTGTCATTTGTTGTATCGGAGTATCTTATACAGGCTGGTCAAAAATTGAATTACTGTTTCTCCATATTCAATGGCAAGGAAATCGCAAATTTTAAATGGAACGCCCCATATTTTTTTAGTCTATTAGAAAGAGAATTTAATTCTTTACAAATTATCTATAAACATTCCTATACCTATTTATTGTAGTTTGCTTCATATTGCGAAATTTATTAAAACATGCAAGAAATGCAGGTTTTTTTTATTAGAAAGCTATGGAATTTCGACAGTTTTTCTAGTTTTAATTGTTAATCAGCGATAGATTGTAACAAATTTTTATTGAACTAAAAGTAGAACTAAGACTAGACCTAGAACCATTCGGGTTTGTTGCAAAAATTAATTCACCTCTAGAAAATTCTCCCCAAAAATTCGGCCAAAATCATCTTTAGACTATTTAGAGAGGATAAAAATTGTTTTGAAGTTTTTTGAAAGAATTTAATAGATAGCAAGAAATAGAAAATGCTAATTGGTGTGTGTCAAAAAGGTGCTAATCGATTGGAAACAACTTTAGATCATTTGACAAAGACAAAATAAGTTAATACTATTAAAGGGAGCGTTTTGCAAAAAATTTAAAGACTTTAGAATATGGTCAAATTTGCTTGGTGTGCATCTAAATAGCTTTAATCGGCCTAAAACATCTTTAGAATACTTGGAGAGGATAAAGAAATGTTAAAAAAGTGTTTAGAACCTTTTTGAAAGAATTTAATGGATAGCGAGAAAAAGAAAAAGCTAATTGGTGTGTGTCAAAACGGTACTAATCGATTAGAAACAACTTTAGATCATTTGACAAAGACAAAATAAGTTAATACTCCCTCCTTTCAGAAATAAGTGTTCGATATCGATTTTTGTTGTCCAAAAATAAGTGTACGATTTACTTAAAAATTAATTTATTGAAACTTAACTACAAATATCGTTTGTAAGTAACTTTCGACGGTCATTTAAGTATTTAAACTAAATTGATGATGTCTTTTACATGTTGATAAAGCCCAAAATTAAAATTTATAGAAACTAGAAGTCTACCCATTCTCTGTAAATGATCCTTATTCATATGCCGCACTTTGTAATTATTGCCTCCATCTACTTTCATGGTTTCTACCATATACGGTTGGTGCGAAAGGACCTTATTCAAAGTATCCGAACTTAATTCGGAAAAAGCTTTTTCAACAGCAAGTTTTGCAAGCTGATTGTTGCTGCAATGACTAAATTGCATTAAAAAAGCCTAAATCTAAGATGTTTGTATTGGGAGTATTGGATGGCTGACATATCATTTTGATTTTGAACCCAGTTCTATTTGAAGCTTCATTAAAACTCATTGTCACCAGGAAGAATGTGTGGTTTAGCGTTGTCTTGCTGGATACAAATTGTTTATCGGCCGGATCTTGGCCATTTTGCTTAAATTTCGGGTAACAATTTTCCAATAATCATGTTCTTATACTCTTCTCTAGTGACATTAAAAACCACTTTCGTTTCAGAAGTCCGATTTTTACTGCTCCGTTTAGCAGGTTCCAAAAACACAAAAGCCCAAATGCCAAGTTTTACATCCAAGTTCTTGTTTTCAGAATGATTCCAAGGTGGACGAGCTACAGCGAACATTACTTTTGTGAGAAAACGCTTACTTTTGCAGAGTCTGTGTGGTCCCTCTTCGCCTTCAACTAGGTAATACGTCTCAGCTGTTTTTATGAGGTAAAACCATTTCTCGTGTATGGGAGACCAGGGCACATTCGAACACTTTTGGTCAGCTGCCTCTATTTCATCAAACATGCAAGGTAGCTACTGCCTTTTAGTAATACAACAAAGTATGTTCTATTGCACATGTTACAAAACGTTAAGAGTTTAAAAATAGGCCATATTTTTCCACTTAGTAATATTTATAAAAAAAGTGCACTTTGTCCGAATGGAAAAGCATTTACTCTTGTAGTGCTTGACTTGGTTGTGGCAATTTCAAAATGACATCAGACCTAGGAACCACTGGATATTCGGGAAAACAAAACCTGTATTGCCTTTTTTTCTCAAAGAGCTGACCTCGTATTCATCAGATCGATCATCAACAGCTAGGACTTTGCCAGTGTAATATTTAATGCTTTTTTGTAGGAAACTTAACCAAAATATAATTATCGATCTCAATTATTGTTTCAAACTGTAGTAAGCCTGGCACACCTGTTTCTTCATCTTCTTGGTCCATGTTGTCTAGATGTGATGAATCAGATGAAGATGTCTTGAATTTTCTTTTGCCATTTCTTTTCTTTAGTTACTTTCTTTTCAGTGTTTAATTTTGGCACCACCTTCTTTTCTTCTGATATCTTACTTTTTGTTGGAAAGACTTGTCTTGTAGCATTTTCCTTAGTTTGTTTCATCATTTTCTCCCTTTCAATATCTTCAATTCGTTCTTTGACGATGGTTAACTCCAAGTTCATTGTGTAAATTGATAAATTAAAAAGACAAAAAGAACTAATCTTTTGCTCCACAATGATGTTTATTTTATTTCAATTTTCAATCCGTACTACACGTGTTTCGCTATTTACAATGAATTTTTCATTGAATTTGCAATGAAATAAGAAGGAATAACATAACGAAGGCGCCGAAAGACCAAAAAGAGCAATTCAAAAATCTAAAAAACAATTCAAACTTAAAATATGAGAGCCGAGCACATATTATCACGTTTCGAAACGGTCTAACGTGAGCGTTAAAGAAATTGTAAAGCAACAATTTTTTGTTGCAACTATTTTAGGCGGTGAATTTGCCCTGTCCGAATGTGACTTAGTCTCCCCTACATGAATTCGATCATACATATCGATGAATTCGGGAACTTTTGCATTTAAAATTTTTGATTTAAGCATTGACAAACAATATTTCAGCCTTAAAATTTTATTGGCTTCTGTGAGGAAACGTTTAACTGAATTTGAGTGCCATCGTGATACTCCTAATTTCAGTCTATTATGAACCGTAGATTTTGGTACTAATGGTACTAACTTTATTAGCGCCGTCTCAATATTTCTCAATTTTCGACCAACGCGTCCTTTTTTCCGTGATTTTACATCTGCTACTTTAGCACCATTAGTTAACGATTTTCGGGGTTCATGCCAAATTTGGCTTACAATTTTTACGGAAATGTTAAATTTGTTCGCCGTCATCTTAATTGAGCCTTGTTTCAGTTTGCTATTCTCTCAATTCCAGTAACGCATGATCATCTCTCCCATCCTTTTCTTAAATCGGATCTTTATGTGAGGTTTTGAAATCGCGTTTTTTGGATTAAAAAATTATACTGTAGAAAAAATTGCTAAGGCCCTTTCCTTAATTTTTGAAAAAAAAAATCGATGTACTTATTTCTGGAAGGAGGGAGTACTATTAAAGGGGGAGTTTATAAATATTAAATGTAGCAGTCCTGGTATAAATAATAAAACCACTTAGCCTGAACGCAACAATCCATTATATCAAGGTTTTACTGTATTTTAAATAATTTTGTCTACATCAACAAAAAAAAAACAACAATTACCTAAATGTATATATACAAAAGAATGTTTTACAAATATTAGAAAAGAAAAAAAAATGTCTCAGAGTGTATGAATTGTATTTATTTTAAATAAACGAAATTAAAAGAAAACTCGTTTATTTTTTAACGGTTTAAAACTGTTATCAATTTCCATATAATCATTAACTCCTTGTTGACGAACTGCTAATCGAATCATCGGTGTTTTTGTTGGATCTACAGAGATAGCGGAAACTTTGACAGTACATCCAGAACAAATAATTCCTTTTTCGTGAGCAGCCGCTAATTGATTAACAACTCGTCGTTCTACTTCGTATTTTATCGATCTTGCCCCATAATTAATATCATAACCATCAGCTAAAGTCGATTGAACGTTTCTATCCCACATTAAATCGATTTTATGTTTATCTTTTGCCTTAAAAAAAATATTTTTTATTAATTAATGTTTAATTTAAATTTAAAAACGTACTCTTTGCGCCCATAATTGCAACTCTTTTTCGACCAACTGAATTAATTCACTTCTAGAAAATGGTAAAAAATAAACAATTTCATTAATTCTCCCCAAAAATTCATCCCTTTTAAAATGCCTTTTCAAAATTGGTTTAACAACTTGATCTTTAAATTTTCTACTAACAACTATATTATCGTTATAAGTTTTTTCACTTTCAATGTTATTTATTAATCTTTCTGTGCGAATCTTTTCGATTTCATCTCTTAATTCAATCCCGTGATGAGCGATTTCATCGCTAGCCAAATTCGAAGTCATTATAAAAATAGCATTTTTACATTCTATCGTTTTTCCTTGACCGTCTGTTAATCTACCTTCATCGAAAAGTTGTAAAAGAACCGTTAAAACATCCGGGTGGGCTTTATCGACTTCGTCGAATAAAACAACAGCGTTCGGGCATTTTTTAAGTTTTTTCGTTAATTGGCCACCTTCATCGTGGCCGATATAACCAGGAGGAGCTCCAATTAATTTAGCTACTTCGTGTTTTTCTTGATACTCGGACATATCGAGTCTTATAAAACCAGGAAGCTTTTCTTTATGGATATAAGAAGCTAATTGTTTAGCTAATTCAGTTTTACCAATTCCGGAAGAACCGAGAAATAAGAATACTAATGGATGATCATCGTCTGCCCAACCATTTTCTTTACGACGAACAGCTACAAATAATTATATTTATTTGTTATACAACAAATAGTGGCTAAACTTACTAGCTGCTACTGTTGTTATCGCACCTTCTTGTCCGACAATAAACTGTTTTAAACGATCCTCAAGAGGAAATCGTCGTCGTTCTTCTAATTCTTTTTCGCGTTGTAACACCTCAAACTATTAAAATTAAATAATAAATACTAGGGTAAACCATACAATTATTAGACAGTGATAGTTAATGGACAGCAGATTTACGTTTCAGAAACAAGAACTTTGCGCAGGTTTATGTATCATAGAAGATTGTTGGTGATAGATTGATATCTAAACTATGAGATGGCTGTGGTGTTACCGAAATCTAATAATCCGAAATAAATCTAAAAATATTGAGAAGAGTTCTAGGCGTGGTATTAAACTAAACGTTCCGCTTAGTTTGCCGTTATTAAGATTAGCTTTAATATTTAAAGTTAACGGAGCGCTAATCGCCGGTTAACTTTGGATAATGCATTTATAAAACACATTTCTTATTAATATAACTAATCGAGTCTCGAAAAAAAGACTTATTTTTTGATTTTTCACGATGTTAACTCAAAGTTAACGTTTGATTAGTGAAATCGGGTTTGTTCTGGCTTCGTTTAGGTTGCATTTTGGAACCTTGGGAGGCATTCTGCATCTTTCTGGAATACTCTATTTTATTCTAAAGTCGCAGGCTCGATGCCGCCTCCTTTACGGTTACTCTGAATTCATTTTTGATTCGATTCAAAATTTTTTGAACATTACATCTTAATATAGAACTGAGGCCCTAAGATGCTACCCTGAGGCACTCCAATTTTAATACATGTTATATCGCTCTTCAATTGATTTCATTCCACTATTTGAGAGAGGCTTTCGAAATAAGATCTCATGGTCCATAGAGTCAAACGGTTTTGAAGTATCATGGAAGTGTGCTAGACAGTTTTCCTCACATTCGAAACGATCGTAAACCCATTCAATCAATCTCTGAAGGGAATTTACCGTTGATTTAGCTTTCCTAAACCCATATTGCTCCAAAAAGTTTATTATTCGGAGTACCGTGATTTTTTCGAAAATTTTAGAAAACCTGGTAGAATAATAATAGGGTAGAAACACACTCTCTCTAATTTTTTATGATGTTTACGGTTTCTTTCAAAAGAGATACTGATTCCATACACATCCTCTGTGTCTTTGCCTTGGAATGATTTTATTATGGTTGCTACTTCATCTGCATTTGTAGGAAAAAAAAAGAATGAGAGATGTTTTTTCGGATTTTTTCATAGATAATCTTCAGGTTGAGTTTGGGTAAATGGCAGAGTGCAAAAGGATAGAAGTCCAAACTGGTATCACATGCATTCAGGTGAAGTAATCACCAAAATTACATTTGTACCAATTTTGGAACCTGCAATTGGGGTTAAATTTTCAGGAAATGCACGAGAAGAAGATTGTATTACAGATTAAGAAATGCGTTCCAAAATCTCATCGAATTCATATTCCTGATGACGACAATACTTATCTACGCTAAGATAATTGTTACAGCAAAGAGATGATGAACTCAGAAAATGAACTTTATTAGAACTCCTGTGATGAAGACTTATTAAATACAGTCGAGCTTGAACAACTTAAAATTGGCTAGGATAAGAACATTAATAATGAACCTTGCAATATCAGTAAGACAAGAAATAACAGAAAGGCGACAAAATACAACTTGAAAATTGGATGAAGATGAAAAAATAGATACTTTATATGATGAGGCTATCTCGGAAACTATAAGAGTTAGACAAAAAGTAGCTTATATGTCATGATCTCGTTTTTCGAGAAACTGCTAATGCCAAAAACCTCAAAGCGCTATCGTCTTTTGTTTTTCCCCTAGAGGCCAAAATTGAAAATATCGTAAAATCAGCAAGTGCAATTATCTTGGTTATTATTATAAGTGGAGTATTTTAATTAAGACATTATATGGACACTTTTTTACAGAGAAATTCTTGACGTAATCAAAAAAAAATTTTCGGTTTTAGATTTTGAGATATCATGACAATTTTCGTTTTTTTAAATGGAAACAACCACTGATTATTCGCTTATTAAATTCGTTATTTCTATTATTCTGATTACAAAAATATGTGGTTAGATAGGTCTATTTCTTATTGTTTTAGAATAAAGCTAAAAATAAACTTCTTTTTTGGTATCGTTAAAGAAATTAAATTTACAGTTTCCTGTAAATTACGGTAGTATAACTAAAAATTATTCTACTAAAAATTTATATAAAATTTACTTCATTTTCTAATAATATATATAACATTCTACCATGCTAAACTTTTCATCTTAAAAAACAGGATTTTTAATTTGATGTCAGAAAATTTTTGAATACAAACAAATGTTGCTATGTTTATTTGAATTAAAAAAAAATATATATGAGCGCCATCTTTCAATAATTTATTAAGTCATTTAATAATAATATTAAATATTAATAAAAAATGTGAAATAATGTAAAACAAATATAAATTAAATAGTTTTACAAATGTATTTGTTTCAAATATCAGAAATATATTTTCTAATTTTTAGTTATAGTTTACAGGAAACTGTAAATTTAATTTTGTTGACGACATAACTGACCCTAACATATGCCCAATAACTGTAACATTATTATAAGTGCCCAATAACTGTACCTTTTTGCAATAAATAATTAAAAATGTAATTGGTGCTTTCAGTATTATCTACAAAATCAGATAAGTAACTACATTCAAGTAAAATATGTGGAGGAATTATATAAGAAACGCAAATATGCGTTTACATCACTATTTTTTAAGAGAAAATCATTTAAGACAATCCCTTAACTGTCCAATAACTGTATAGTTTAATTTACATCAATAAAGAAAAATAAAAATAAATAAATACCTTAGCTGTATATTCATGTAATTGTTTTTTAATTTCTTCATCATTAGCATATTGGGCAGGCCGGTGCCCGGCATCATTTTCAATCAATGGATTCGCCCCATTCATTAATAACATTCGAACTATTTCAGTTTGATCTGATAAAACAGCATAATGCAAAGCAGTAAACCCAAGGAATGTAGCTCGATTATTTAATTTTCCAGAAAATTCTTCATCACGGGACATTAATACTTTAAAATAAATTTTTTTTAATCTATATTAAGTAATAATTAACAAAAAAGAAATGAATCCACACCTTCAATTGAGTGTAATCCTTTCTCAGCGGCTGTTCTACTAGCATTAATGTACATATCACCTAAATTAGGGTCGGCTCCTTTTTCTAATAAAACCTTACAAATTTCACTTCGACCGTTAACAGCGGCGACCATAAGAGCAGTCCATCCCAATTTATGTCGTACGTTAACATTTAATTGCTGTTTTGCTAAAAGTCTAATACATCATTATAATCGGGTAATAATAAATTAAAATTTACCTTTTTAAATCAATGTCTTCGCCGTTTTGGACAGCCCGGAAAAATCTTTTTTCATTAAACTTATTGTTGCTGTCACAGTAAACGGTGGCCAACGCTAATGAGAAAAGATACGGAGAAGGAGTTTTCCACCAAGGGTTTTCTTTGGATTTATCTCTATAATTTTCATAATGGTAAGTAGGAATCGGTGGTATGTTGAAGTTTGTTCCAATTTCATTAGAATAATGGTATGATAGGTGTCGATTTAAGAAATACGCGCTTAACCTGATGTACCGTCTCGCGTGAAACATACTTAACCCTTCAAGAACATTTAACTATTTGATTATACCAAGAGATCTTATTAATTTTTGGAAATGGTTTGAATGACTAGGTTAGGTTTTGTTTTGACATTTTGACCAATTTTGACATTAGAAACACTTTGAAGTAGATATCTATTTTATTAACAATTTAAAAATTTTAAACGATTATATATTCAAAAATATTAATGAGATGTTGTAATTATAGTAATATTATTTAATTTAATTGTTAAATTTGACTTTTCTACAAATTAAGTTGCAACAATTCATTAATTTTATGATGATATCTATATTATCGACACGTTATTGTCGCCATATTGGAAATACTTTATTGGCGCTAATTTTAAATAAAACTGTATGTGTATATGTTTTTTCTAAATATTTATTTAAAACATTCAACATTAATGTTTTATCACATTTAATAACAAGTTTTAAAACAATTTTATTTATTAATTATCATTTTGTTTCACATCTGCCCAAATAATCAGATAAAATTCAAATATATCAAGAAATAGGAAAGGTTGATTGGTGTTTGATGCGTCACAATAAAACGAATTGATTTGAAACAATTTTAAGCTTTTTGACAAAGTCAAAACTAGCTTACAATATTATAGGGATATTTTCCAGAACTTTATAATATGGAAAAAGTTAATAGGTGTGAATCAAAATGGTTCTGATTCATCAAAAAGATCTTCAGGATACTTGAAGAGGTTGAAATAATTAAAAAATTCGTTTTAATTGATTTTTGAAAGTATTTAACAACTATTGGGAATTAAAAAAAGCTTATTGGTGTGTGTCAAAACGGTGCTAATCGATTGGAAACAACTTTAGACAATTTGATAAAGACAAAATAAGTTAATAGTATTGAATGGGGCATTTTCCAGAAAATTTAAAGTCTATAGAATATGGGAAAATTTGCTTGGGGTGAATTTAAATAGTTTTAATCGGCCAAAAACATCTTTAGAAGACTAAGAAGGGATCAAACAATGGTAAAAAATTGTTTTAAAGTTTTTTGAAAGAATTTAATAGATAGCGGGAAATAGAAAAAGCTAATTGGTGTGTGTCAAAACGGTGCTAATCGATTGGAAACAACTTTAAATCATTTGATAAAGACAAAATAAGTTAATAGTAATAAAGGAGGCATTTTCCAGAAAATTTTAAGTCTATAGAATATGGAAAAATTTGCTTGGGGTGAATTTAAATAGTTTTAATCTGCCAAAAACGTCTTAAAAATTCTCAGAGAGGATAAAACAATGTGAAAAAAATGTTTTGAAGTTTTTTGAAAGAATTTAATAGATAGCAGGAAATAGAAAAAGCTAATTGGAGTGTGTCAAAACGGTGCTAATCGATTGGAAAACAACTTTAGATCATTTGACAAAGGCAAAATAAGTTAATAGTAATAAAGGAGGCGTTTTCCAGAAAATTTAAAGATTTTAGAGTATGGAAAAATGTGCTTGGGGTGCATCTAAATGGTATTAATCGGCCAAAAACATCTTTAGAACACTTGGATAGTATAAAAAAATGTTAAAAAAGTGTTTTGAAGCTTTCTGAAAGAATTTAATAGATAGCGAGAAATGGAAAAAGCAAATTGGTGTGTGTCAAAACGGTGCTAATCGATTGGAAACAACTTTAGATCATTTGTAAAAGACAAATTAAGTTAATACTATTAAAGGGGGCGTCTTCTAGAAAATTTAAAGGTTTTAGAGTGTGGAAAAACTTGCTTGGGGTGAATCTAAATAGCTTTAATCGGCCTAAAACATCTTTAGAATACTTGGAGAGGATAAAAAAATGTTAAAAAAGTGTTTTGAAGTTCTTTGAAAGAATTTAGTAGATTGCGGGAAATAGAAAAAGCTAATTGGTGTGTGTCAAAACGGTGCTAATCGATTGGAATTAACTTTAGATCATTTGAGAAAGACAAAATAAGTTAATACTGTTAAAGGGGATGTTTTCTAGCAAATTTAGAGATTTTAGAATATGGGAAAATTTGCTTAGGTTGAATCTAAACGGCTTTAATCGGCCAAAAACATCTTTAGAAGACTTAGAGGGGATAAAAAAATTGTAAAATATTGTTTTGAAGTTTTTTGAAAGAATTTAGTAGGTATCGGGAAATAGAAATAGCTAATTGGTGTGTGTCAAAACGGTGCTAATCGATTGGAAATAACTTTGGGTCATTTGACAAAGACAAAATAAGTTAATAGCAATAAAGGAGGCGTTTTCCAGAAAATTTATGGATTTTAGAGTATGGGAAAATGTGCTTGGAGTGCGTCTAAATGGTTTTAATCGGCTAAATACATCTTTAGAACACTTGGAGAGAATAAAAGAATGTAAAAAAAGTGTTTTGAAGCTTTTTGAAAGAAGTTAATGGATAGCGAGAAATAGAAAAAGCTAATTGGTGTGTGTCAAAATGGTGCTAATCGATTGGAAACAACTTTTGATCATTTAACAAAGACAAAATAAGTTGACACTATTAAAGGGGGAGTTTTCTAGCAAATTTAAAGATTTTAGAATATGGGAAAATTTGCTTGAGGTGAATCTAAATTGTTTTAATCGGCTAAAAACATCTTTAGAACACTTGGAGAGTATAATAAAATGTTAAAAAAGTGTTTTGAAGCTTTCTGAAAGAATGTAGTAGATAGCGAGAAATAAGAAAAGCTAATTGGTGTGTGTCAAAACGGTGCTAATCGATTGGAAACAACTTTAGATCATTTATCAAACACAAAATAAGTTAATAGTATTCAAGGGGCGTTTATACAAGATACATAGTAACTAAAAAAGTAAGAAACACAGTAGATAAACGAAAACTGCTGTGCATATCTATATCTTCAAACAGTTACTTTATTATTTTAATCCTAAATATACAAATGCCTGTTGTAAAAGTTTAGGAATTAAAAAGAAAATCCTATTATAGTTAACTAGTTAACTTTTAGAATGAAAAGACACTTTTCAACAAAAATAAATGTTGGGGATGGTTTTGCGCAGTTGCGTTAGTAGCGCACTCGCAACGCATCCCCACAGAATTAGGGCGCCCCCCGTTCGCCGTGCCCGCTCCAGGCGGATGCTGTGCTCCCTTATCGATTTGACACACGCTACCGCCCCTCATCACAATCCCGTCACAAGGCCCCGGAACGTGTTCGTGCGCGCTTCTTTTCCGCGGATGACACGATGGCAAACTCGCGGCCGCAGTCGAAACAACCGCCTCCTCCACTTGAAATAAATACCGCGGGGTCACTCGCTAACTCCCTTCCGGTACGTTTCTTCGTGAAAAACTAACCGTTGGTGGCGGTAGTGCAAAAGGCCATGGCTACGTCCAGTGATGGTGGACGAGATAAGACGATGTCTTTTGATTCATCTTCGAAAGAATCACAACTTTATTAAACGAGATTTCAAAAAAATTTCAAAAAAAATTAAATAATTCTTATGAGTATTAAGAATTTTTAAATGAAATCTGTTTAGATTAGTAAATAAACAAAATGAGATGAAAATGTAGTTTAACAACCAACTATTTATTTCGAATTCTAACCAAAGCAAATTGCGTAACTGTTATCTAACAAAGTAGAGTTAGAGGAACAGGTTGTGATTGTTGTGGTTCTTCCTGTTAGGGGATGTATCCAAATACCAGCCCAAAGTAAGTATTTATTTACAAATACAAAAAACGATTTCAAAAAAGTACTAATTCCAAATTTAATTTAACAAAAAAAAATTGATTACTTTACCCCAAGGCAAAAAGAGCCATAACTATTAAACTTCGTATTCACTGCAGTAATCGTTTTTTACAATTCTCTTTAATTACGTTACTATATAACTTTGAGTTTAACATCAGTTATTAATTTAATTTTTAATTTTGTTACAGGGATTCGTTACAAAACATGGTAGATTTGGGTGGATATGTAATAATTTTAGCTGAAACGAAGGATAAAAAAATCAAATTATATGGTAAGTATTAAAAATTGTTGGCGAAAATAATTAAATAATAGAAAAGTACGATAAAAACGTCGTGGTATCCGTGGTATTCGCCGCGACATCTCAATTGTTAAAAGCTCGTCCGTTGAAAAGCTCAAAACAAAAAGCTTTTGAGAACACCATCAGGAAAGGAGATGCCGGAGTCGGTTCAAATAACAAGCGGCAGGCTGCATTGAGCTGTCGAAGCCATTACAAACGGTAGACGATGTCGCAGACATCGCTTTGTACACGTTTTAAGACAAAGAAAATCCGTTACACTGTCAACAGGAAATATTGCGTGTAATATTACGATAACTTTACAATATATTTCATGTATAGTACTTAGAAAATGAAGAGGAATTCAAAATCTTACTTTTAAACTTTGCAGAATTAGTTAATGTTGTCCAATTCATAAAGATTTTATCTGAATTGAAATGAATCTTTTAATTTGGATGCAATCTATGTATCTATCTATTTTACATTCTATCCATAACAACATTATGAGTTACAAATGAAAATGGTCCACTTCTTGCACCTCTTGTTAATTTTTAGATAATTCCATCCTATGCCGGCCAAATGTCAAATAAATCATATACATTACTTTTTTGTTTATCGCTTTTAGTTTTTCCGGAAAATGGGTTAATTTTGTATTTTTAAATGGAACAGCCTATTTATACATTCAAGATTCGGAGCATGTTACAAAAAAACTTTTAGAACACAAAGTGTAGCAAATTTTATTCTTAACAATATTGCTCTCTTACATTTTTGTTCTTAGATGCGTCAATATCGAGAAAAATACAAAAATATGAAAATTTCATGAATTTGTTGCTTTTTCAAGTAGTGGTAACACTCGGGAATCGGAGCATGTCATAAGAATATTTTTAGAACAAAAGTTGTAGCAAATATTGTTCTTAACAATATTGCTCTCTTGCACTTTTGTTCTTAGATGCGTCAATATCGAGAAAAATAAGATAATTTGAAAATTTTATAAATTTGTGGCTTTTCCAAGTGGTGGTAGCACTCAGGAATCGGAGCATATTACAAAAGAACTTTTAGAACAAAAGTTGTAGTAAATTTTATTCTTAACAATATTGCCCTCTTGTATTATTGTTCTTGGATGCGTCAATGTCGAGAAAAATAAGAAAATCTGAAAATTTCATGAATTTGTTGCTTTTTCAAGTGGTGGTAGCATTCTGGAATCGGAGCATATTACAAAACAACTTGTAGAACAAAAGTTGTAGCAAATTTTATTCTTAACAACATTGCTCTCTTATATTTTTGTTCTTAGATGCGTCAATATCGAGAAAAATACGAAAATATGAAAATTTGATGAATTTGTTGCTTTTTCAAGTAGTGGTAACACTCGGGAATCGGAGCATGTCATAAGAATATTTTTAGAATAAAAGTTGTAGCAAATATTGTTCTTAACAATATTGCTCTCTTGCACTTTTGTTCTTAGATGCGTCAATATCGAGAAAAATACGAAAATATGAAAATTTGATGAATTTGTTGCTTTTTCAAGTAGTGGTAACATTTGGAAATCAGAGCATATCATCAAAAAACTTTNCTATCAGATGCATAAATATCGAGAAAAATACGAAAATATGAAAATTTGAAGAATTTCGTTGTTTTATTAGTTGCTAATGGTAGCACTCGGGAATCGGAGCATATTACAAAAGAACTTTTAGAACAAAAGTTGTAGCAAATTATATTTTTAATAATATTGCTCTCTTGCACTTTTCCTGTTAAATGCGTCAATATCGAGAAAAATACGAAAATATGAAAATTTTACGAATTTGTTGCTTCTTCAAGCTATTAATGGTAGTACTCGGGAATCGGAGCATATTACAAAAGAACTTTTAGAACAAAAGTCGTAGCAAATTTTATTCTTAACAATATTGCCCTCTTGCATTATTGTTCTTAGATACGTCAATATCGAGAAAAATAAGAATATATGGAAAATTTACGAATTTGTAGCTTCTTCAAGCTATTAATGGTAGCACTCGGGAATCGGAGCATATTACAAATGAACTTTTAGAACAAAAGTTGTAGCAAATTTCTTTCTTAACAATATTGCGCTCTTGCATTATTGTTCTTAGATGTGTCAATATCGAGAAAAATAAGAAAATTTGAAAATTTCATGAATTTGTTGCTTCTTCAAGTGGTGGTAGCATTCGGGAATCGGAGCATATTACAAAAGAACTTTTAGAACAAAAGTTGTAGCAAATTATATTTTTAATAATATTGCTCTCTTGCACTTTTCCTGTTAAATGCGTCAATATCGAGAAAAATACGAAAATATGAAAATTTTACGAATTTGTTGCTTCTTCAAGCTATTAATGGTAGTACTCGGGAATCGGAGCATATTACAAAAGAACTTTTAGAACAAAAGTCGTAGCAAATTTTATTCTTAACAATATTGCCCTCTTGCATTATTGTTCTTAGATACGTCAATATCGAGAAAAATAAGAAAATATGGAAAATTTACGAATTTGTAGCTTCTTCAAGCTATTAATGGTAGCACTCGGGAATCGGTGCATATTACAAATAAACTTTTAGATCAAAAGTTGTAGCAAATTTTATTCTTAACAATATTGCCCTCTTGCATTATTGTTCTTAGATACGTCAATATCGAGAAAAATAAGAAAATATGGAAAATTTACGAATTTGTAGCTTCTTCAAGCTATTAATGGTAGCACTCGGGAATCGGTGCATATTACAAATAAACTTTTAGATCAAAAGTTGTAGCAAATTTTATTCTTAACAATATTGCCCTCTTGCATTATTGTTCTTAGATGCGTCAATATCGAGAAAAATAAGATAATTTGAAAATTTTATGAATTTGTTGCTTTTTCAAGTGGTGGTAGCACTCAGGAATCGGAGCATATTACAAAAGAACTTTTACAACAAAAGTGGTAGTAAATTTTATTCTTAACAATATTGCTCTCTTGCACTTTTTCTGTTAGATACTTCAATATCGAGAAAAATACGAAAATATGGAAATTTTACGAATTTGCTTCTTCAAGCTATTAATGGTAGTACTCGGGAATCGGAGCATATTACAAAAAAACTTTTGGGATAAAATTTGTAGCAAATTTTATTCTTAGCAATATTTCTCTCTTGTACTTTTCTTCTTAGATGCGTCAATATCGAGCAAAATACTCTCGAGCAAATTCTTTATCTTTAAAGATTTTCCATAATGCAGTAATTCAGATATTGTGACAAAAATTGATGAAACGTCACTACAACGTTCCATTACTCTTACCATTACTGTTTTCACTAGGCCTGTATTGTTCCTAGAAGCAATCTGAGAAGGTAAACATTCCTTTCTGGAATGCACCTTAGTGAACCTAATGAACTTTAATGCACCCAAGAAAAGTAGAAATGTATCTATAAGCACCGCAACACCCAAACTATCCAGATGGGAGTATTGATCAAAACCTTGTAAAAAGCAGTTATATCTTTCTATTAGTCTATCATATCCCAATTAGTTTGAACTGATTGAGTACTCAGGTTGCCTCAGAGATCAATAAAAACCCATAACACATATGGGATAATGGGATATATGGAATAATTAACAACATTTTGAATATTTTTCTATAAATAAACGTTAATAATAATTTAAGATTTGATTTTAATATTAATTTGATTACAATTTATGTTTCTTTTGTTATAGGTTCTCCTGCTGATAAAGATAACTTAGAAATAGCAGATGAAATCTTAGAAGTGAACGGTCGAACACTAGAGGACGCTACTCATACAGAAGTTATTAGCCACATTCATCAGGTAAAATCTTTCATTCTTAAAATATCTATAATCAATTTTACTTTTTTTCTAATATCTTCTGTTCTTTCCAGTGCATAAGATCTCGAACGATATGTTTGCGTGTAAAAAGAAAAAGCGGAGGAATCAAACGTAAGCTTTCTATTACAATAATTATTTTAACAATTAAATCCTTTTTTATGTTCTAAATCTTAAACTTTCCCTTTTACACACACGAAAAAATGCAAAACTAATGCCGTAATTGGGTTCTCCACACACACTCGAGTATCTCACAAAACATGCTGCTTCTTCTCTATATCCAGGTCAGAATGGGTAATTTTCATTGTCTTCCTGCATTCCTGCGGGCGACCAAAAACGAGTTCGTGTAAATTCGCGTTAGTTCGGTATACGTCATTCAGGTGCATGCCGTACCTGGTGGTTTCTGATCTGGCCTGCTGCTGCTGGTTGCGTTCAGAAAACGACACAAACACACGCGTTTTTAGAGAGACTCCCGTTTTTTGAAGTCCTAATTTGCCGGCGCCTTTTGTTGTTGGATTTATCTTCGCGTTGTCGTGAAGAGTGCGATTTTACATAAAACAATTTCCGGTCGGTGCGTCGCGAATTTTCAGTGAACTTAAGTGAATTTCCCGGATATTTTACACGAATCGGAAGTCGACCCGGATTCAGTTCGCATATTGGATTTTCTTTTACAATTCAAACTTGACGTGCGTTGAAAGGTTTTATTTTTTTTTGGTTTTGAGTGCAATCTAAAAAATAAGGATTTAAATTGGTCGAGGTCATCTATTGTTTTATTTTGTAAGGTCAGTTTGAAAAAAGTTTGGAAAATACTTGATAGGTTTTAGTATTTAAAAATGTAAGCGGCGTAGAAAGTTTTTATACCGAGCACTAAGCGCATTAATTATATTGGATTAGAATACATTGCGAAACAACTTCGACGTTAAAATTTAATAATTTTGTATTTTGAAAACAGGAAGTTTCGATTTTATTATTATTTCCTTAATAAACACTTATGACTCAAAATATTAATCATTATCGCTCGATAACAACCAACACAAGTATAAATTTTTTCGGAACCCACAGCCGAGTTATTTCGAAATACCATTGGGCGGTTTACATTTTACGTATTGTATTACAACACTCTTTAAATAACAAACGTGTCGAGTTGCGATAAATAATCGCAAAACCGATAAAAGAATCAATACGAACTCAATTTAAAATGAAATCAAATGTTTTAAGGTCCCGCCCAGAAATTTTCGCGAAAGAGAAACCCAATGTGGGATTTATAGCCGAAGATCAAGCGGGAACATACCCAGTTGTTGAACTCGCAGGAACCGGAGTCAAGGCTAACTAGCTTTGTGGTGTGGAAAGAAGCCATAGACTGCTGGATGTGTTTCTCCCAAGGTTCTTTCGGTCTGTTACTTTGGAATCTCTCTCGCACTTAAATCCATTTTAGAACCCAACCATATTAAACGATCAAAAAAGAAGTAAAAACTTTAATTATGTGTTTATTATGGTTATGACTCGATTATTACTATGCTATAATTTCGCGTCTAAAACTTCAATTTTTAATCAAATTGACATTTAAACTTTGTTACTTTGTTGACCCCTGAGCATTCCTTCAAATGGGCGTTCCTCCGCAACTGATCTGCTTAAAGCCGCTATGGTGGAGAGGTCGCTGACCCACGCCCAGCATGGCCTAACTGTACCATACTATCATTCATCCAGCAGTGTTTGTAGATTGCCCATATGCCCATTGCGAAAAAGGGAACGAAACGATTTCCGCCAACGTTATACGCGCTTTCTGGAACGCTTTCTCCAAAGAGATTAAATTGTTGTTATTGCTATACACACTCATTATGTCCGCATCAATCAATCTTTCTAACTCGGACGTATCAAGTCCTCAAGCCAATATGTATAAATCACATGAACAATAAGTATCTTTGAAATTTTTATGGAGAATTAGTGTTTCTAAACCGGAAACTTTAACAATTTAGATAGTACGAAAGATTATAGGATGTAATTCAGTCATTGTCAATCTGATTTATACAAAATTAAACATATAATATATGTTTATTCATTGTCAATTAGTTTATGGAACGCAATTTAAAAATCATTAACAACTCTGATGATCTTCAATCAAATATTCTCTACCAGTTATTTAACCTTCTCGTTTCTAGTTCTGCTTCGGTCTTTGCGTATATTTTGCCCATTCTTGATACATGTTCATTCCACATGAACAAGATAGTCAAATTGGAATACATCTGCTTTTGCACTACAACTGTGCACCTAATAGACGATTTTGCGTCATTTGCATAGTACAAAATCTTTATTGTTGTTCTTCATTTACTCCATCTAGGCCCTTGATTATACTGTCCATTAGCATGTTAAACAGTTATTTTCTGCCATTCATCTGGAATAGTTTCTGGCAGCAATTTTTGCTATCTTTGATTATCTGCTGTAAAATTTTTCCGCCAACTATTTTTGAACTATAATTTTTTTCGTGCAACAGTTTAGACACGCTTGCTTTATATTCTCGAAGAAGATCAATTCAATGGATGTACCTTTAAAACTTATCTTTCATCAATCTAACGTTGGGGGAAATAATTTAGTGCGGTTGTGGTGGAACGGTGAATGTGAAGGGGAGGTCGATGCCAGTGGTGCCGTCAAGATCGCGAGTAGTCCTGTTTCGTTTCGTCTTTGCCAGATTACGCGACGAGATTAACGTTAAATCTCGTCTCATCTTGTCACGGTGAAACGATATTAGAGTAACTAATTCTTGTCTATTTTCGTCGAGAGTTAAGACCCAAGTTTTAAAATATGAAAAAAAAAACAGTAATAAATTTCCATTTATCTTATCTTATTAATTAATAATATTCTGTCCACAACGTTGTCTTCATACTCTTATTATAGCTGTTATTGTCCATATTCATACTTCAAAACAACTGTTAGAACCAAGATGTAGCAAACTATATTCTTAACAATATTGCTCTATTGCACCTTTCTCTTAGATGTATCAATATCGAGAAAAATATGAAAATTTGACGAATTTCTCGGGAATTGGAGCTAGTCATAAAAAAACGTTTAGAACAAAAGTTGTAGTAAATTTTATTATTAACAATATTGCTCTCTTACATTTTTGTTCTTTGATGCGTCAATATCGAGAAAAATACGAAATTTGAAAATTTGATGAATTTGTTGCTTTCTGAAGATATTAATGGTAGCACTTGAGAATCGGAGCATGTCATAAAAACACTTTTAGAACAAAAGTTGTAGCAAATTTTGTTCTTAACAATATTGCTCTCTTGCATTTTTGTTTTTAGATGTGTCAATATCGAGAAAAATACGAAAATATGGAAATTTTACGAATTTGTTGCTTCTTCAAGCTGTTGATGGTAGTACTCGGGAATCGGAGCATATTACAAAAGAACTTTTAGAACAAAAGTTGTAGCAAATTTTATTCTTAACAATATTGCCCTCTTGCATTATTGTTTTTAGATACGTCAATGTCGAGAAAAATAAGAAAATATGGAAAATTTACGAATTTGTTGCTTCTTCAAGCTATTAATGGTAGCACTCGGGAATCGGAGCATATTACAAAAGAATTTTTAGAACAAAAGTTGTAGCAAATTTCATTCTTAACAATATTGCCCTCTTGCATTATTGTTCTTAGATCCGTCAATATCGAGAAAAATAAGAAAATTTGAAAATTTGATGAATTTGTTGCTTTTCCAAGTAGTGGTAACACTCGGGAATCGGAGCATATTATCAAAAAACTGTTAGAACAAAAGCTATAGCAAATTTGATTCTTAACAATATTGTTCTCTTACATTTTTGTTCTTAGATGCGTCAATATCGAGAAAAATACGAAAATATGATAATTTGATGAATTTGTTGCTTTTTCAAGTAGTGGTAACACTCGGGAATCGGAGGATATCATCAAAAAACTTTTAGAATAAAAGCTGTAGCAAATTTTATTGTTAACAATATTGCTCTCTTACATTTTTGTTCTTAGATGCGTCAATATCGAGAAATATACGAAAATGAGAATTTGATGAATTTGTTGCTTTTTCAAGTAGTGGTAACATTTGGAAATCAGAGCATATCATCAAAAAACTTTTAGAACAAAAGTTGTAGCAAATTTTATTCTTAACAATATTGCACTCTTGTATTTTTGCTCGTAGATGCGTCGATATCGAGAAAAATACGAAAATATGATAATTTGATGAATTTGTTGTTTTTTCAAATAGTGGTAACATTCGGGAATCGGAGCATATCATCAAAAAACGTTTAGAACAAAAGCTGTAGCAAATTTTATTGTTAACAATATTGCTCCCTTACATTTTTGTTTTTAGATGTGTCAATATCGAGAAAAATACGAAATTTTAAAATTTCAGGAATTTGTTGCTTTTTCAAGTCATTAATGGTAGCACTCGGGAATCAGAGCATATCATCAAAAAACTTTTAGAACAAAAGTTATAGCAAATTTTATTCTTAACAATATTGTTCTCTTACATTTTTGTTCTTAGATGCGTCAATATCGAAAAAAATACGAAATTTGGAAATTTGAGGAATTTTTTGCTTTTTCAAGTTATTAATGGTAAAACTCGGGAATCGGAGCTTGTCATAAAAAAACTTTTAGAACAAAAGTTGTAGCAAATTTTATTCTTAACAATATTGCACCCTTGCATTTTTGTTCTTAGATGCGTCAATATCGAGAAAATACGAAAATTTGAAAATTTTATGAATTTGTTACTTTTTTACATTCTTAATGGTAACACTCAGGAATCGGTGCATTTCATAAAAAAACTTTTAGAACAAAAGTTGTAGCAAATTTTATTCTCAACAATATTGCTCTCATGCATTTTTGTTCTTAGATGCGTCAATATCGAGAAAAATACAAGAATTTGAGAATTAAATTTGTTACTTTTTGAAATTATTATATTCATGTCTTGGTTTATGACTCCATTACATAAAGATTCTTCAAAGCTATATACTCTGTTAGTTATCCTCCATACAGTCATAATAGCACTACATACTAATAAAGTGACATAATATGCAATAATAACTCTCTTCCTGTCTTGCATTATAATCGTACCTGTATTAAACCAGTCCCAGTTTATAATGTAGGTTTTATTAAGAACAATTACATTCTTTAATGTTTTCCATTCCGTAACCTTAAATCAGATTTTAATTTAGTAACGTATGTACTTCGTGCCACTTACACACGAGTTGGCTTGTATAGAAAACTAAATAAAAAATATTTGTTCCATATTAAGTATGGAATTTATGATAAAACCTTACATGTGATCAATAAATAGTCAGCTGGATTGTCTACACTCTACAGGAATGCGAAGGAATTCATCATAAAACCAGTAATTAAAATCGTATACGTGAACGCGATCGTTGGTTGTAATAATTGCTGAGCGTAAACGAACGGTATTTTCTAGTTTGTACGGTTTCCGTCATAAATAATTAATTTATGGTTCTGTGGAAATAAGCGCTTTGGATGTTGGCTGAAATGAATGTTAAAAAGAATACGGAAGTGGACATCATGTTGCATGTGAACGAAATGGAACCTTAACTCCCGCAACGTGAGTTTGAAAGGATTCTGTCTCTCGTGTATACCTTTATAAAGCAGCGTGCTTTGTGAGTCTTCGGTAATTTAACACCGCATATCGATTTCTAAACTTTAGAAAGAAAATAATTTCAACCACAATCGATTAAAACTATTAATGTTTTAATTTTCCTAATCAATTTTTTTTATTAAACGACTTTCAATTAAATTTCACCTAACTACCTAGTAGTAATTTAAAATGACCTCAATTTTACATCTTCCTTCCTCACATTTCCTGTTCCAGCGATAGATGTCGACCTGTGTTCAAGCAACGTGCAGGATGCCTTCGTTATCGCAGTGGAACAGCAGGCGAGAGAACGTTTGGAAAGGCTTTCTGCCCTCAAACGGGTCACCCCCGTGGATATGACCAAGTTATCCCATCAGGTAGACAATTTCATCCCGTTGAATGAATGATTTTTTTTTTAGTTTGTGCTTCGATGCATGTTGGAATGTTCAAATTTCGGTACCTTTTAGCGCTTTATGTTTTATCAACGTTGAAAAGTTATTTCTGGTTTAAAAAGAATTTTTTAATACATGACCTTTCCTTAAAATCTTACATAATCTTCACATCACAGGGCGTAGTCTGCGGAACCTCCGGAATGCGTTCTGTTTTATGTCAACGATATCTTGTGTACCTGTGTTCCCTATATTGTCTTTGCAACGGTTCGAATAGCACGAAGACACTTGATCCTCTTGGATTTGATGGATCTACTTGAACCACTTGACATGTCTTAAAGAACAGAATAGATTTCATTATTTATTTTTCCCACAAATTTTTTTTTATTTACTTAGAAAAAAATGGGGTCTTATTAAGGGAAGTTTTTCGATCAAGTTTTAAAATCCTGGGAATTAGCTTTATTGGAGTCGGCTATAAATTTAATTTTATAGCCGTCGTAAAATTACCATAATTACGATTGCGAAGGATTGTTTCCGTTTTCAATTGACTTATTTTTAACGTTTTTTCTAGTTAAATCGGCAAACGACAACAACAGAGGACCTAAATGGGTTTATCAACAGCTCGCCCCTTTACGTAACATCCCTAAACGCATCGGAAAATTTAAACAACAACCCGACCGTAAGCAGTACGAAAACCGCGGTAACCGCTGTTCCTTTGGTATCAGCCGAAGATGCTGTTAACAATAAACAGCTGTTGCCCTCGAATCAAACAAATGGACACGAAACGATAGGAGAGAACATCGTTTTGAACCAATATCTCGAATCTGGAAAACAACAACCGCCCAAAGAAGCCGCCCAATCGACCGGGAACAAAAGCATTCCAAATGATGTTAGGTTTGCTGCTTCTGGACAAACCATCAATAAAGTTCCTGCTGCAAGTGGAGGATTTCAAACAACCGATAACGGTGGACAAGTTTTGGATGTTAGGAAACTAGGAGATAGAAGGGGTTCGTCCCCTTTTCAAAATGGAAGGACGGAGATGCTTATAGTTCCGCAAGACAATAAATTAAAAACTACCGCTATAGTTGAAAGCAATAATAACAAATTGGGGTTGGATTTGGAGAATAGGTAAGCGTATTTTATTTATTCAAAATGAAAAAAAATCTTTAAGCTCTTATATTGAGCTTGTAAAGGTGCTCACCACCTACTTCATTGACATTCAAGTGCCATCGAAGCTTAATTGCCATTCCTTGTAGCGCGCCACTATTTCCTCCATATTTGCATACAATGGCACACATATCAATTTCTATCGGCGTCTAAAATAATTTACAACTACGTCGCGTTCATATCTCCATAACTTTGTCTATGTTTACATCAACATCAATTTTTTTTTTTGAATCTACCGATTGATTATTTCTACTACGTTAATGGAAACGGTCGTTTTCTTCATTAAAAAGGATCGTATAAAACCGGATGTGTGCTTGAAGACGCAGGGTAATTTAACTCATCCGGGGATTTTCGTTTTGATGAGTAATGCTTTAAGAATAATAATTGATGGTAGTTACAACAAAGAAAAAAAAATTTGTTTACGATCTAGAATAAAGTAACTAAAATGTTAATTAATCAATTAGTTGTATAATATTAGAAAGTGTTTAACATTTAATTTTTTTTTCGTCTTTTTTGGGTATGACTAATTAAGTATTAATTGTTACTCCTTGAACTTTCTACCTACAGAAATAAAATTTTTCCATACATTTTTTTAGATGAGATTCTTTCTATTTGATTCATTACAAAAATCTTTGTTAATCATTAATTATTCAAGCCAAAAACTTTTTAATAAAACAATGTTATCAAACAAATTTTTGAACAAAAGTTGTAGCAAATTTTATTCTTAACAATATTGCTCTCTTTTACTTTTGGTGTAAGATGCGAAAATATCGAGAAAAATACGAAAATGTAAACATTTTATGAATTTCGTTCTTTTACAAATTATTAATGATAACATTCGGGAATCGAAGCACCTCATAAAAAAATTTTTCGAACCAAAGATGTAGCAAATTTTATTCTTAACAATATTGCTCTCTTGCATTTTTGTTCTTAGATGCGTCAATACCGAGAAAAATAAGAAAGTATGAAAATTTGATGAATTTGTTGCTTTTTCAAGTAGTGATAACACTTGGGAATCGAAGCATACTACAAAAAAACTTTTAGAACAAAAGTTTTAGCAAATTTTATTGTTAACAATATTGCCCTCTTGCATTGTTGTTCTTAGATGCGTCAATATCGAGAAAAATACGAAAATTTGACAATTTGATGAATTTGTTGCTTTTTCATGTTATTAATGATAGCACTCGGGAATCGGAGCATGTCATCAAAAAGCTTTTAGAACAAAAGTTGTAACAAATTTTATTCTTAACAATATTGCTCTCTTGCATTTTTGTTCTTAGATGCGTCAATATCGAGAAAAATACGAATATTTTAAAATTTAACAAATTTGTTGCTTTTTCAAGGTATTAATGGTAACACTCGGGAATCGGAGCATGTCATCAAAAAACTTTTCGAACAAAAGTTGTAGCAAATTTTATTGTTAACAATATTGCTCTGTTACATTGTTGTTCTTAGATGCGTCAATATCGAGAAAAGTACGAAAATTTGACAATTTGTTGCTTTTTCATTGTATTAATGATGACACTCGGGAATCGGAGCATGTCATCAAAATACTTTTAGAACAAAAGTTGTAGCTAATTTTATTCTTAACAATATTGCTCTCTTACATTGTTGTTCTTAGATGCGTCAATACCGAGAAAAATAAGAAAGTATGAAAATTTGATGAATTTGTTGCTTTTTCAAGTAGTGATAACACTTGGGAATCGGAGCATACTACAAAAAAACTTTTAGAAGAAAAGTTGTAGCAAATTTTATTGTTAACAATATTGCCCTCTTGCATTGTTGTTCTTAGATGCGTCAATATCGAAAAAAATACGAAAATTTGACAATTTGATGAATTTGTTGCTTTTTCATGTTATTAATGATAGCACTCGGGAATCGGAGCATGTCATCAAAAAACTTTTAGAACAAAAGTTGTAACAAATTTTATTCTTAACAATATTGCTCTCTTGCATTTTTGTTCTTATATGCGTCAATATCGAGAAATATAAGAAAATTTTAAAATTTAACAAATTTGTTGCTTTTTAAGATATCAATGGTACCACTTGGGAATCGGAGCATATCATAAAAAAACTTTTAGAACAAAGGTTGTAGCAGGTTTTATTGGTAACAATATCGCTCTCTTGCATTTTTGTTCTTAGATGCGTCAATATCGAGAAAAATACGAAAATTTTAAAATTTAACAAATTTGTTGCTTTTTCAAGGTATTAATGGTAGCACTCGGGAATCGGAGCATGTTATCAAAAAACTTTTCGAACAAAAGTTGTAGCAAATTTTATTGTTAACAATATTGCTCTGTTGCATTGTTGTTCTTAGATGCGTCAATATCGAGAAAAGTACGAAAATTTGACAATTTGTTGCTTTTTCATTGTATTAATGATGACACTCGGAAATCGGAGCATGTCATCAAAATACTTTTAGAACAAAAGTTGTAGCTAATTTTATTCTTAACAATATTGCTCTCTTGCATTTTTGTTCTTAGATGCGTCAATGCCGAGATAAATAAGAAAATTTTAAAATTTAACAAATTTGTTGCTTTTTGAAATATTAATGGCACCAGTTGGAAATCGGAGCATATTACAAAAAAACTTTTAGAACAAAAGTTGTAACAAATTTTATTTTTAACAATATTGCTCTCTTGCATTTTTGTTCTTAGATGCGTCAATGCCGAGATAAATCACAAAATTTTAAAATTTAACAAATTTATTGCTTTTTAAGATACTAATGGTATCACTCGGGAATTGGAGCATATTACAAAAAAACTTTTATAACAAAAGTTGTAGCAAATTTTATTGTTAACAATATTGTTCTCTTGCATTTTTGTTCTTAGATGCGCCAATATCGAGAAAAATACGAAAATTTTAAAATTTAACAAATTTGTTGCTTTTTCAAGTTAATAATGATATCATTCGGGAATTGGAGCATATTACAAAAAAACTTTTAGAACAAAAGTTGTAGCAAATTTTATTGTTAACAATGTTGCTCTCTTGTATGTTTGTTCTTAGATGCGTCAATGCTGAAATAAATCAGAAAATTTTAAAATTTTGCAAATTTATTGCTTTTTAAGATATTAATGGTAGCACTCGGGAATCGGAGCATGACATAACACGATTTTTAGAACAAAAGTTGTAGCAAATATTGTGCTTAACAATATTGCTCTCTTGCATTTTTGTTCTTAGATGCGTCAATATCGAGAAAAATACGAAAATATGAAAATTTAATGAATTTGTTGCTTTTTCAAGTTAATAATGGTAACACTCGGGAATTGGAGAATATTACAAAAAAACTTTTTGAAGAAAAGTTGTAGCAAATGTTATTCTTAACACTATTGCTCTCTTGCACTTTTCCTCTTAGATGCGTCAATATCGAGCAACTCAAATTTCGTTTATCTTTAAAGATTTTGCATAATGCAGTAATGAAGATGTTGTGCAATCGTCGTTCGTAAGCTTTCAAAGTGACAAAAATTTCTGAAACGTCACTACAATGTTCCATTACTGCTACAATTATTGTTTTCACTATGCCTGTATTCTTCCTAGAAGCAATCCGAGAAGGTAATCAATGGACAGCGTCAATATTGCTTCGGTTCTGAATAGATCTGGGACATTATGTACCCTAAACATTTGTTATTCCTTTCTGGAATGCCCGATAAAATTAAATTATTAAAAACTTTTTAATAGATCAATTGTTTTCTGATTTTTCAGTCCTATTAACAAAAACGATTCCAAAAAAAGATTCTCTTCAATGCCTTTAGTTCGGATTCGAAGAGTTATTTACAGAATTCCGTCGCATTCGAGTCACGGCGTCCTCTCAGGTTTACGGTGGTGGTGGTGGTTGGTGAAGACCAAACAGTTCTTTTGTGTTCTTCGTTTGAGGGGAACCTCCTCTCAGGTGCGTGGAATTCGCTGAGAACTTCTCTGGCCGACGCCGAATGCAAGTTTTGAGACACCACTCCATCTCCTTAAACCGAACCGAGACAATCATCGAAAACCAAAACTACCTTCCGTCGTACCTGCGTTGGTACACCCACTTGTTGGCCACTCTTTCTTTGCTTCGCCCGGCTCGGTTTTACCTCCATCGTTCGCGAGAAGCAGTTTCTTGGCGACAGTCACGCGTTCGGGAACGCTGCCAAGAGCTTTAAAGTGTGCTTAAAGAATCTTGGTGCGTGCTTTTTTTTTTGTTGTTTTCGGATACGTGAAGAGATTTTTTAATGTGATTCGTGAATGGAAGTTACCGGTTTTAGAAAAAGGCTAAAAATATTTTTGGACTTACAAGGATTTTAAAAAAAAGACGAAGTTGTTCATCTTTTTTGTTTTGGTTGGAAATTAAATGTCTTTAAATTAACCCTTTACTTTAAGTTTTTGAAAAGCCAAAAAGACAGAGAAACGTTTTTATTGAAGCTATGAGGATTTTAAAGCATTATTGGTGAGATAATTATTTTTATATATTCTGGGTTTGTTGTGATTTGAAATTTAATTAAATTGGAGTTTTTTGTGGTTTTTTTTTTTCATATAAATTGGTTTTATTGCAAATAAATATAAATTTGTGGTTTATTAAATGATTAAATTGAAAATTTTTGAGGTTAACTTTATGGAATGAATCAAAAACCAATAAATAATTTCTTTCGTTATTATTACTGAAAAATTTTATGTTAAAGCACAAATTTGTCAAATTAATTTGTGTGTGTAAGTGATTGCAATTATGAACTTCAATTAAGCAAACGTATCATGTGATCACGATGTTTTTTTTTGGTCTTGATGACGTACTTTTTGTTTATTTTCATTATTCTAGTGGCGTTGAGGAAATTTTCAGCCATCAAATAATCACTCCAATTTTCATTCCCCAAATTGGTTGTGAAATCTTTTTCCAAACTGGAACTAAAATGTTTTTTGTAATCAGATACAATCTTTTTGCAAACTGAGTTTCAAACTAAAATTTAAATATTTTTGCGTTTAGACACTTGA